TCATCCATCCATGCATCCATCCATCATCCATCCATCCATCCATCCATCCAACCATCCATCCATCCATCCATCCATGCATCATCCATCCATCCATCCATCCATCATCCATCCATGCATCCATCCATCATCCATCCATGCATCCATCCATCATCCATCCATCCATCCATCCATCCAACCATCCATCCATCCATGCATCAGTGCATCCATTTAACCAAATTTAATGATTGTAGCTGTAAAACCTGTACGTTAACATTTAAAAATCTTCAATGTACATGTATAATTTTTTTACAACCAATTATTTGTTGTCAAATATATTATTTACTAAACATGTAAATTATAGACTGATTACTGACTAGTAAGACTRTATAAAATTAAAAATATAATGTTGACTCCCTAATGACAGGGACTTTAATGYAATGATTGATCATGATAAACATAAAATAAAACAGCTCTTGACAAGTTGTCACAYGGGGCAGTTTATTCAGATATCATGTTTTCTACATTCATTCTTTGTGTTTTCAACATTTCCAGACAAAAAGAAGAAAAACTACGAGCTGTGGTTCAACTTCAGAAGCAGCCCTCATCAGTATGAAGCTGTTCAATCAGTTGTTGTACATTATGAGGGGTAGTAGTGGTATGATAACATGGTTATACATGATAACAGGAAGTGGACAGTATGCAGTAAAGTATAAATGAACTCACAGGGGCTCTGTGGAGGTGAACATAYGGGGATCAATCTTGGGTCGATGACGGACAGAGAGGAGGAGGAAGAGAGGCTTTTTCCAGAAGGACTCCTCACAGCCTGGTGACAACAAAAACAACAACAACAACAGGAAGTCATGGTGAATTTCTCCTCCTGTTTGCTTGTCTCAATTAACAGTTATTACTTCACAGATCAGTGAGCAACACTTCAGAGTCTCTTCATGTAGTCTGCAGTGTGCTGACATCACTACAGCTCTGTATGACAGGAAAAATCACTGCTGATTTAATAAAATGTAGCAATGCCTCCCCCTGGTGGAGGAATGTACCTGCTGCATCATCACAGACTAATTTAATTCATCTTTATATTTAATAATAAACCTCCTACTGACTCTGCACTCAGTATGTCTTTAATCCCAGTAATCCAGCTGCACTTTAGTGAAACATAACTGTAGACACTCATGGTGCGTTCACACCGAAAGCGATTTCAGCGTCAAAATCGCAGCCAACGCTGAAGTTTGAAGCTTGTGCACTTTGAGGTCAGACGCAGGACAGCTGCGCTGCACGGTG